GAGATACGCAGCAATGGTTTCATTTCCAGGCGTGAGTTTCTTTTGGACCACTGCTGGGAAAAGATGAGTGTGAATAATGTGAACGTGTGCTACCTGGGTCGTAGTCTTACTACCGGTACGAGTAACTTAACAAGGCACAGTAGCCTCTCGGGAAGAAACAGTACAGATATAAAGCTGTTGAACGTTGGCTAGTACAAACATTTCAGCGAACGTCGTGGTTTTCCAGGTTTGACCCTTATAAAACTTCTTTTAAGTAAACAAATATTCAAACACTACACTTATCTCTGTTGCACATCTGCAGTGATGGATGATGGGCTATGCCCTTTGCAGATCTTTCGCTCTTTTTTGTCCTAAAATACGCTTCCTCCATCCAAGTACCATGAAACATTAAATTATGATACATTGGATCATGATTGGAGTTAGATCATTGTTTGCTACTGTTTCGTATATGTAACACACAACCTTAGTTCCTGTAGCCACGTGCTTCACAGTCCAATGTTTTATTTTTGCGTTTTATTTCAGTAGACCTAATTTTGAATTAACTAGCATTATTCCGCACACGTGAAACATGTTTCTGAACTAGTTACATTTGGTTCACGGTTTGGTTGTGAAGTATTTCAACGAAATGGAAATAGAGAAACCCCGTGATACGCTTTATAAACAATCATTATCAGGAGGTGTTGACTATCTTGCCAAGTTGTTATATCTCTATTGAGGGAACAATGCAACAATTTTAGGACTGCAATCCTCTTAAGCTTCTGTGATATTTCAATATGGACAGTGAGATGATATTATGTTAAATAAGCTGTAGACTGGATGTAAAATGCGAAACAATTGAGTTTGCGTGTGAATGTTTACATTTTCGAACAACTGACGGTACTGTCAAATCAGCTCATTTTATCCAACTTTAAAATTTGATTAAATCGCACAAAATCATTACCCCAAAAAATCCTTTGGACATCAAAAAGAACCACACTTTGCCTTCCAAAATCCAGATTTTCAGTCGATTATCTTATTTACCACATAGTTAAATAACGGGTTATTTTTGACCTCTTTTTAATCTTGTAAGATGAAGGTTGGATAAATTCAACTGGATTGTGTAAATAAACAATCAAGAATTGCTCAAATTTCTGTCAACATATGTACTGATGTTGTTTTTCAAGATTTGGTACTTTTTATCGGTCCAAGTGTTGTCAATTCGTGGCGCGACACTCCAAGATTCGTCTGAATTTTTGAGCATCAAAAGCGGCATTTTGGCAGAATTCAGTTGTTATCGATTTTCTCGAAAATAAATCGATATTCAGCCAAACGAAGTATGCAGTGTTTTGTTTCACTATAAGGCCTACCCAACTCGAGAATATGAGCCGAATCGATTTTTTGGCTGTTGCCACCAAATGTTTGACCGTTGGTAACATTCGGAG